AAGTACAGTAAACAAGAGTAAGGTTATTATGCAGATTTAAGGCCTCACTTTCCACATTGATAAGTTTCTAGAAATGAGGTCACCCCCCCCTTCCCAATACAGAGAGGGATATACCTTTACAAATGGAGATTTCCCTTATAAATGTAAATGTTTGTCTGGCAACTCCTTGCAGGGCTATCTAGAAAATGTGGCCAGAGAGACAGAATTTTTGATCAGATGGGCTTGTTGGCGTCTTTCCTATTGTAACATCTGTTTTACAGCTATCAGATAGTAACTCCTTCCTGGAACAGATCTTCTATGTCAAATTTTTTAGGCAGTTAGTGGGGGAGGTCAAATGTCCGTCAGAGAAAACAATGAAGGTAAAGAGATATATTTCAGGGTGGCCAAATCTTGATCTCCCACATCTCCTACCTGGTAAGTAGGCCAAAATATTGTCAACCATTTCTATATTGATTCATCCAATCTATTTTTGAAGCTTATGGGTCCATGAAACCCAAAACTGGGTTCCACTGGCTTATTTTGTGTACACTTGTAATCGGAGTTGGTATATGAGTGGTTTTCTTCTCACATCAACAACCAGTTCTCCTGTTTTTTGACACCAACTGGTGTCCAACAGTTCAGTTCAATTCTCACATATCTGCAGTTAGCACAGACCCCACAGGTTAAGGGCTCAGTCCCAGAGTCCCACAAGACTGCCCTCACTTCAGATGCCAGCTGCAAATGGGGTTCTCACTACCCACACTTATGCCTGGCTGACGACAAATTCAGGGGTTCCCACGACCCCCCTTCAGGTTCGATAATTCACTAGAATTTCTCCCAGAACTTAGGAAAGTGCTTTACTTACTATTACTGGTTTATTATAAAGGATACAGCTCAGGAACAGCCATGTGGAAGAGAGGCATAGGGCAAGGAATGGTGGGTGCAGAGCTTCCGTGCCCTCTCCAGGCATGCCACCCTATCAGCACCTGAGTTGGAGCTCATTTGGGTGTTGTTATGGAGCATTCATTACATAGGCATGATTGTTGAAATCATTGGCAGTTGGTGAGTGAACCTTTCTGGCCCTCCCCCGCCCCCCTTCTGGGGACTGAAAATTTCAACCCTCTAATCATGGCTTGGTATTTCTTGGCCACCAACCCCCATCCTGAAGCCTGGAGCCAATGATTAGCATACCAAAGATACTCTTCCCGCTCAGGGGATTCCAAGGGTTTTAGGAGCTCTGTGCCAGGAATTGAGGCGAAGACTAAATATTTTTCATTATACCGCAGGACCTCTGCCTCCACTGAGGAGAGGTCCTCAGATGCTGTGGAAAGGAATGGAAAGACTTGATTTGCATTTGTCACTAAGAACCCTAGCGGGCAGTGCCATCCCTTCCTGGCTGGGCCTTGATGTGGCTTCTCTGAGGGCCCGAGGTCTTCTGGGACCACAGAGTTATTTTGGCGTAACCAGTGTCTTCACAGCTTGCCACATAGCCACGTGGCTGTTGCTGCTTCTCCAATAACACCTCAGCTCTTAGCCGCATCTTATTTTTTCTTTCTTTAATCTTGGCTTCTCCTGGTGCTTCTTGGCTTAGTGTAGAGTTGGATTTGTATCCTTAACATCTCATTTTGAAGATTTCATTTCATTAGAAAATGAATCAACTATGCTTGGATATGTTCATTTGGAGATGTCTTTGTTTCTATGGGTCTAGCTTTCCCAGGAAAATTGAAGTGACCACACATTTCATTGCTAACTGACTAAGTGGTTTGTATATATCTTGATTAATTAAGCACTGGTCTAAGCTAAGTTAACTCTGCGTTTCAATGTTTGGAATGTCTCCAGCAACCCACTGTATAGCAATGGGGAAGAGAAAGGTCGAGGAAAAAGTTGAGACATTATGTCTAACTCTCCTGGTTTTAGATTTCCTATACATATATTTTTTAACTTTTCTGAGGCATGGAATGACCTAATTTATGAAACAAAAGTTTAACTATTGCTTTGGCTTGTGTGAGCCCACTGGGACTTCTTGAAGAGACATTATTTCTTTCTTTTTTTTTTTTTTTTAATTTATTTTTTTGTGAGGAAGATCAGCCCTGAGCTAACATCTGTGCCAATCCTCCTCTTTTTGCTGAGGAAGACCGGCCCTGAGCTAACATCTATTGCCAATCCTCCTCGAGGCTTTTTTTCCCCCCAAAGCCTCCGTAGATAGTTGTATGTCATAGCTGCACATCCTTCTAGTTGCTGTATGTGGGACGCAGCCTCAGCGTGGCCAGAGAAGCGGTGCGTCGGTGCGTGCCCGGGATCCGAACCCGGGCCGCCAGCAGCGGAGCGCACGCACTCAACCGCTAAGCCACGGGGCCGGCCCGAGACATTATTTCTTGAACCTTGGGAAACTGTGTCCAAAAATATTAATTTTTGAAAACTGGAAAATACTGTTCTATATTAATTTACAGATTTGTTTATTGAATTGTTATTTACAATTAGTAGTAAATTTGTTTTTTGGATTGTATGCTGTAAGAGGCACTCTGTCTCAGCTCGTTTCATGTCATCTTTCTTTAGGGTTATGTAAATGTTGTCACTTAACAAATATTTCTGTTGTGAGTGATGAAGAGATTTCAACTGCTGTGCTGACAAATGCCCTTTAATGAAGCTTTTAAAAACAATTCAAGCTTTAGTCATTGGCTTGTTTTTATTCCCATTCCCAGAACTGTTTTACCGAAAAATTTCAGTGCAGCCTAAGAATTTAGACCGTGCCACTGGGTTTATTTCAGTGTTTGTGCTGCACAAATATTGTTACAAGTTAGTTTTTGTAAAATTTCTCTAATGGGAAATTATAAACACTTACAGCCCCACTGTTCTGAATTGATTTTATTGCTCAGTGCTGTGACCTCTTTGGGTCTCCCACGATCTTCTGTTGTCAAGTCTCATGGCAAGTCGAGTAAAACACATATGTATACCGTATACTGTTTGTGATGGGGCAGAAGTGTGGGTGAGAGGGGAGGGCATGGAAGTGACTTTGTTTCCAGGGATATTGGGGAAGAACCCATGTGATTTACTGTTTAAAATCTGTGAGGCTAAAATTGGTGGAATGAGCAGTGCTTTTGTTAAAAATGGTGAAGGGGAGGAAGACTAGCCTCTACCCACTCTGGGTCCTTTCTGGCTGGGCTACAAATTAAATTGACATGAGACCGAATAGCAGGAGAAAATCAAACGAAGCTTTATAACATGTATACATGGGAGAGACCCCGGGAAACTGAGTATCTTGACAAATGGCGGAGGTTTTCACCTTAAATAGGATATTCAGGTAGACAAAGGAGGATGTTGGGGGTGGGGGGTGTCAGCTATGGGAGATTACTAGAAAGCACAGTAAACAAGAGTATGCAGATTTAAGTCCTCGCCTTCTGCACTAGGAGTTTCTAGAGATGAGGTCATCCCCTCTTCTTCCCGGTACAAAGAGGGAGACACTTTTACAAATGGAGATTTCCCTTATAAATGTAAATGTCTCTTACAAAGGATAACTTCTACTTTTACTTGGATTGGGCTTAGCAAGGACCCTCCCAGTCTATCCAGACCCAGAGTTAAATTCTTTTAGACAGTTAGGGTGGGGGGTGGAGGTCAAAGTCATAGTTTCTTTCAGAGAAAATAATCAGGGTAAAGAGACATATTTTGAGGTGGCTAATTCTGATCCCCCACAATGGGATTGCATGAGCAACTTAGGAGCATCATCATCTCCATTAACTACACTCAAGCATCAGATAAGTCTTCTGTGTGGAGACTGAGTTCTTTTAATTGGGTTAATAGTAACAGTCACAGAGTTAATGTACTTGTTTTCTTCTGTTGCTCACTTTTGGTATTTGATTTAAAAAAAAAAATATAGTATGAAATAAAGCAAAATTCAAATCAGTCTTTTTTCCCCTGGTAGTATTATAGAATATTTGAAAACATGAAATTATTGCTTAATATGAAATTAAGATCATCTCCACATTTTATTTATTTGTGTATCTCAGTCTCACTTGGTAACAAATAATTGAGATGAAGTTGAGATTTAAAGATTCTATCATGGAATTTATCTTTTCTTTAATATTTATCTGTGAAGGTTAGAACTTAACATCTAGAGGGATCTTTAGAAATCATCTCATTTTACTTTTTCTTTCTTCTTTTTTTTTGTTTTTGGTGAGGAAGATCAGCCCTGAGTTAACATCCGATGCCAGTCCTCCTCCTTTTTGCTGAGGAAGACTGGCCCTGGGCTAACATCCATGCCCATCTTCCTCCACTTTATATGGGACGCTGCCACAGCATGGCTTGACAAGCGGTGCATTGGTGCGTGCCCGGGATCCAAACCTGCGAACCCTGGGCTGCCACAGCAGAGCGTGTGTACTTAACTGCTGCGCTACCGGCTCGGCCCTACTTTTTCATTTTTACATGAGGAAATTTGAAACATAGGTTGTTACCTTGCCCACGTGGAATCAAGGACTTAGTTGCAGTGCCATCCATTGATTGTCAGTGGCCTCTCCATATCTCACGGGGCAGATAGAGCTTATCAGAATTTGTTATATAGGCCTTGAAGCAAGCCTGATGATAAAAATAATTTCGCCAGTAAAGAGGGGTCATCACTAACAGGTCACCAATATTATAAACATATATACAATATAATTATACTTTATTTATAAGTATAAGATTTATAAGATTAATTTATACCTGTAGTTGTATTAGGTTTAATGAATGTATGAGGTACTCATATTTAGAAGAAAACATCTCATGTTGCTTGTCTAAGTGCTCTTTGTCGATCCTGATCTCGGGTCCCTCATTACACTTCGTGTTTTGATCTCTTGTCCCCGTTAGACTGTACCCATACGGCAGGAAACCCCTGTCTTGTTCACTGTTGTTTCTAGCACCCAGTAAAGCACTAATTGTTGACTGGCTGTTCGGTTGGCTAACTCTGCCTTATATGGCTCTGTGGGAAACTTAGCATATTTTAAATATCTTAAGTTGACTTTTTTTTTTGTATTTTTATTTTTTTACAGTGAACAGAGTATCTGTCAGGCAAGAGCTGCCGTGATGGTTTATGATGACGCCAATAAGAAGTGGGTGCCAGCTGGGGGCTCAGCTGGGTTCAGCAGAGTTCATATATATCACCATACAGGCAACAACACATTCAGAGTGGTGGGCAGGAAGATTCAGGACCATCAGGTAAGGGTCTCTTAAATTCTCAAAGTTACCTACTATTACAAAGGACTTGGTGTATTCAGTAAAATAAAGCCGTGCTTTAAAACTGTAGTCAAAGTGGTCTCTGTGGGAAAAACTGCATGTAGGTTTGCCTTTCCACCTTTTATGAAGCCTGAATTTAGATGCGGATAGAGGACTAATTGTATAAAAATATGAATACCAGTTTTTCAATTATGAATATTCATTACAGCCTCTGGCCTCACAACTGGCTAGCTAGCTTTTGGAATCTAAAGTAAGTTTAGGACAAACAAAAATGTGAGATACCACTTACGTAGCAGATTGTATGTTTAAGGGATTCATTTCCTGCCAAACGTATGGGGAGTGGGGCTAGAGGAAGGAGTTGAAAGTGTAAATAGTTTTGGAAAATATTGTTAAATTCATCTGTGATAGAAAAATTGTAGGTATTAAAGGTGCTGGAATAGTTAGGCTTTTGTAATTCATGTCTGGGATGACAGCTAAGCTTTTACTAATTCCCTGCTCTGGATTATCTGATTACTTGATTTCTTGGGCCTGAACAGATCAGGAGCAGTGTAGATAGAGGAAAACGTAGATAGTAGGTATAGCAGTAAGTATATACTAATAGCAGTGAGAACTTTTATAAGGAATAGATTTACAAAGTGCTTTTGGTTCTGGTAAGATGGTGGAATCAACCAGCATTGAACATAGGCAGAAAAAAATGTAACAAATTGCCAGCTGAGCTCTACCTAAAGAAAGGTAGATCCTTAGGTTTCCACTAGGAGACACGGTGGTGTGTAAACAGGTGCTGCAGCAGCCCTGTGTTTTAGGATGGAGATGATGAACTGGGGGACTTAGCTTTGTCATACTATGTCATACTATGACATACTGTCATAGCTAGGGACTTAGGTTTGTTGTACGTGCATGTAGGGACTGTGGGCCTATGAGAGGTTGGGCTTTGAAACTGGGACTAAAGAAACTAAAACTGGGACTCTTAGAGAGGCTGCACACCATAAAAACGGACTAAGAAAAAGCCTCCTATCGGCACAGGAGTTTGTTGCAGTCTGAGCTGGTTTAGGGGCTCCCTTGAAGAATGGGAACCTCCAACTTCAGTTACACAACTCCGGTTTGGAAATGAACAAATACTGGTTACAGGCCAGTGAAAGTCTTGAGGCACTGGGCAAAAACAAATGTGCTCCTCTGGAGAGAAACTTCCATAGACCTGAATCAGTTTGCAGAAAGAGCAGTTCACTGAATTGAGTGAGTTTGCCCCTTCCTCCATGCGCCCGTTGCACAGGCTTGATTGGTCTCCCCAGTCTCTGTCCCAGGAACCCTCGCCGCCCCGTTGGTAGTCCAGCGTCCTGTGTGCTCTCTCTCCTTTTTGTCTTTCCTGCAGTAAAGTGTCCCAGCAGTGAGTTAGGCCAGAGACAAATCAAATACTCCCTAAGATGCTATTAGAGAGAAAAAATGAAAACCAGACAACTAAAACTTTGTAGAAATTGTTGAACATTCTTAACCCAACATTCCAAACTAGGAGCTGTAAAATAAACACATTTTTGGTAAATTTGGTTAATTGATGAACAATCCTAAAAGTATCTAAGTGTCGGTAAAAAAGAAAATGAATATTTAAAAATCATTAGAAAGAAATCGGTGTAAGTCAGGAAATTTCCATATGAAGCACTGAAATTTTTATTCATGAGAGGAGTAAACTGTCCTCTGACTTCTAGCTTTTGACAAATGGAGTGTTTCTTAAAATGTTTGGAAATTTAAAAACATACTTCTGAATAATTCGTGAGACTAAGATGAAATCATTATGAAGATTAGAAAATGTTTAGGAAGTAAGAAAATACTTAGACCTGAGTGACAAGATATTACGTGTAGAAACCTGTGGGACGTCTAAGCTATCCTTAGATGGACGTCTAAGCTGTCCTTAATAGTGTATCATGAGCTTAACCCAAAGAAAACAGAAGGAAATATAAAAATAAAAGAAGAAAGTAATTAAATAAAAATAAATAGAAATTGTTACACAAAAGTTGCTTCACTGAATAGAAAAAATGACAGATCTAACAGAAAAAAAGGTTACAAATAATATTAGGATTGGAAAAGAGATGTCAGTATAGTTGTACTAAGGAAATAAATTATAAGATAATATTATGAACAGCTTTATGCCAATAAATAGGCCATTTTGTAGAAAAATATAATTTACCAAAATTGGCAAAAGAGTAGAAAAACATAATAGACCTACAATCGTAAAATATATCAATAGTTAATATCTACTCCCAAAATTTAAAAATAAGGAGAGGGAGAGTCCAGAGCATTTACAAACAAAATCTCTGCCTAGCAGAGCTTTTGGCAGACTCATGGGACCAGTAGAACAAAAATTAGAAGTTAGGGTCTGTTAGTGAGGGGAGAGTTGTCTTGGTAATCCCCCAGGCCACAGTTTGAGACCGGGAAGCCCCATACCCTAGGAAGAAGTTTGACTCGGAATTAGACTGGTCTTTATAGGAACTGAAACCCAGCCTCTAATCATTTCAATCACTTTTGGATTAAGATGGTTTGAGATTTGTTAGTTTCCCTAACTGCTTGCCAAAAGCAAATGTAAATCTTCCCTGGAAAATATGACATCATTGTAAGCCTCAGGGTTTCCATACAGTTGTCCATGCACAGTGTCTGGTACTCGGTCAGAACAGCCAGGCGTACACAGAGACAGGAGGAACAGGGCTAGCACAGACCCTCTGGGGATCCAGTTAATGGAATTATCAGAAATCGATTTTAAAAGAACTGTGCGTAATATATTCAAGGAAATATAAGGCAGGATTGCGAATTTCAGCAGAGAATTGGAAACTTGAAAAAAGAACCAAATGGAAATTTTAGAATTGAAAAATAACCACTATTAACCATAATAACTCAGTGATGGGTTTTACAACAAATTATAAACAGCTAAAAAGAATTAGTTAACTGGAATATAGGTCAGAAGAAAATATTCAGACTGAAGCTAAGCTAATCTGAGAGAGAAAAATGTAGATACATAAAAAGAGCTTAAGAGACAGAGGGAATACAGTAAAAAAAAATGCGTAATGTATGTGTAATTAGAGTCCCAGAGGAGAGAGTGAGGCAGAAACAATAATGGGAGAGAGAAGGAACAAAAATTGTCAGAAGTGATGAAAGAACGTGAACTTAGCAATGCTATAAGCCTTAAGTGGGGTAAATAACAAAACCATGTCTAAACCCATCGTTATTAAAGTCACTAAACTAAATACAGGTGGAGAAAAACTACTTCAAAGAAGCAACAATAAACTGTCCGCTGATTTCTTGATAGAAGCAACAAAAGCTAGAAAGCAGTGGATTTCAAAGTACTGAAAGAAAATAAATGACCACTCAAAATTGCATACCTACTAAAAATATTCTTCAGAAACGAAGGTGAAATAAAGACATGGACAGAATGAAATGAAATGGACAGAATTCGTCACCAGGAGATCTGGATTGAAAGAAATTCCAAAGTGTGTTCTTGAAGATCAGAATGGTCCCAACAGAAGCCTGGAGAAGGCAGAAGGAATAAAAAGCAACAGAAAGCGTAGATATAGGGTAAATCTTAAGTGATCGTTAACTGTATAAAATTAGTAATAGTGTTTTGTGGCGTTTAAAATATATGTAGAATTTTAAAACCTGATAAAGATAGCATAGGAGTCCTGGGATGAGCATGGGAGAGAGGGAGTGCTGTTGGAGAAAAAGTGAAGTTTTTGTATTGTTGAGGGAAAGGGAAAGGTACTAGTTTTTATCTGTTTTTGATAAGTTTAAGCTGCCTGTTGTCATCTCCAGGGCAACCACTAAAAACAACAGTGAAAACATAGCTAACTTGTGAGCTAATAGAGGGGACAGAATAATAAACTCTAAAACAAGGTATGATAGATTTAGACCCAAATTCATAGATAATTTACATTAAATGTAAATGGACAAGATACTCCAGTTAAAAGCAGAGAGTGGCAGATTGGATAAATAACACAAAATTGTGATAATCTGAATATAAAATTATAGCTGCACACAAAAAGCTGAGAATAGCCAAAGCAATATTGAAGAACAACAAAGTAGGAGGACATACTCTGGTGGGTCTCAGGACTTGCTATAAAGCTCAATAATTAAGACACTGTGATGTTGGCTCAAAGATAGGAATATTGACCAGCAGATCAAAAGAGAGCCATTGAGACCCTTGGTTTATGAAAAAGGGTAAACCTTCAGCACAGTTAATAAATAGTGCTGCATCCACTGGACAACCATATTGAACCTTATTTCACACCATGGGCGTAAATCAATTCCAGTTGGATTGGAGATGTAAATATGAAAATTAAAACAATAAAGCTTCTATAAAATAATATGGGATAATATTTTCATGACCTTGGGATTGAGAAACATTTCTTAAACAGGTTACAAAAAGCATTAACTATAAAGGGAGAGATTGCTAATTTGGACTGAATAAAAGTTAAGAACATCTGTTCATCAGAAGACTCCATTGAGAGAGTGAAAAGGCAAGCAACAGAGTGGGAGAAGATATTTGCAACACAGATAACTGACAATGGGATCATATACAGAATATATAAAGGACTCTTACAAATCAGTAAAGAAAAAGATGGACAACTCAGTATGTGTGATTGTGCAAGCTGTTGTATACTGCTGTGGAAGTAAAAATTGATAGAACCAATTTGGAAAGCTACTTGGAGTTTTCAACTAAAGTTAAACATATATATGGCTTGTGACAATTCCACTCCTGGATGTATGCCCAACAGAAATGTGTGCTCATGTGTACCAAAAGACATTCGTAGGATGTTTATAACATCACTATTTTCAATAGCCTCAAACTGCAAATAATCCAAATGTTCATTAACGAGAGAATGGATAAGTAAACATTTATACAACGGAATACCATAGAGCAATGAGAAAGAATGAAACACAATTACATGCAACAGATAGATGACTCTAAACAATTTTGAAGGAAAGAGGGTAAGTACATTACAATATGTATTGTGTAACTCCATTTATTAAAAATCCAAAAACCTGAGCTATGCTGTTAGAGGTGTGTCTGGTCCTTTTTGGGATGTGGGAAGAGTTAAGGAGGTCCTGGTGGTACTGTCCTATTTCTTGAGCAGGTTTTGGCTACACGGGAACGTTGACTGAGATACATGCTTATGTTTTATACACTTTCTGAATTTATAGTACTTCAGTAAACGTGTTAATATATATTTAAGGAGGGATATAGATTTATTTTGTTTTGCTGATTTACCGCTTTAAGGCTGGACCTTTGTAACCATTAGACAGCTTAACTTCTATCAGAATTATTTCTGCGGACTGATTTTACCCTAGGTAACTGCTTTAACCATTTTTGACAGGGTTTGTCAGGAATGGATTTGAATGAATATGTCTGATCAGGATTTGTTGGCTTTGTTGATTTTGCTGGTTGTGAGCTTGACTTGATAAAGAATTCCTGTCTTTTAGGTGGTGATAAACTGTGCCATTCCTAAGGGGTTGAAGTACAATCAAGCGACACAGACCTTCCACCAATGGCGAGATGCTAGACAGGTGTATGGTCTCAACTTTGGCAGCAAAGAAGATGCCAATGTCTTCGCAAGTGCCATGATGCATGCCTTAGAAGTGTTGAATTCCCAGGAAACAGGTAAGGTGTCCGTGGTTTACTTGTTTTCTTAAACTGAAGTGCCATGTAGATGTTAAAGCTGATCTTTTCTGACCAACTTTTAAATCGTTCATGTATTTTAAGTAATTCTTGAATTTCTATCGTTTTCTACAAAAATGTGAACTTTTGTTTGTTGATGATAAGAATATAGTCTAGAAGGATAATCTTATGAGATTGATTAGTTAGTGATTTTTTTAACCCTCTCATTTGAAATTATTTAGTTAAAATGTTCATCCTGCTCTAGAACCTCAACTTTTGTTGCAGGGACCAGAGGCCCAGAGACTATGCAGTGGATAGAAATTATGCATATTAATTATCGTCTTACTCTTTAGGAAGAAACACATTTTCTGAAAGATGTTTTTTTAAGCCCATGAACTTCAAGTAGGACTAGTCTCCATCCTAGTAGATAAAAATTTGATTCTAAAAGTTGTTTAAAGATTTTAGGAGTGCCCTCAGGTGGTACAAGCCATGAATTGCATCTCCTCTGACACTGCACGGTGGTTAGAAAGATATGTAGAAATAATTCACTTTTAAAAAACCCAGAATTTAAAACTGTATATGTGTCAGAGATGAACTCTGTTTTTGTTTTGGTTGAAAAAATAGAAAAAGAAATACGCCAATGTGTGGTTATCTCTTTGGGGAGATAGAATTTAGAATCAGAAAATAAATGTTGTACATAAAATAATACAAATATGATTATTCTTGCCTTTGTTGTGTATTTAGTAGTGATCTTGATGATATAAATATGCTATATACAAAATTTATTTATTTTAAGAAGGACTTAAATAGATTAAAATTTGATATATTGTTGAAGGTATAGAATTTTAAAACCAGTTATAGACATGTTAAATTTTATTTATACCTTGCCTTACTCTAAAAAGAATTGAAACATCTCGCCCATGTGTTAGTCTATTTCAAATATGAATTTCAGAGCAAGAAGACATTTTGAAATCTTGCCGAAACTATGTTGTTACGCCTATAGATGGTTTATATTAGATCTTCTTTTGAGGAATTTAATATCTCTATAAATAATTTGTACATAGCTCTCATATCTTATCTATTTTGAGAAAATGAACTGCTGGCACTACTCCTAGTTTGTCAGTAAGTCCAGAAAATAGCATAGAAAAGTCTGCCTGTATGTGCAGTCTTGTATGTAGATCGTCTCTTTAAGTCACTGTATTTTTCTCGCAGGCACCAGTATTTTATTGGTATTCTGTTGTAGATATAGAATTGCTGTTATCACCGTAGTTTTACCATAGAGAAGAAACTAGGATTGTGGTTCTTGATATCTTATTAAATAGATCAACTATGTAATAAATAGGTAAAGGACCAAGTTTAGAGAGTATACATATGCCCGTAACATTTGGCTTCTCTTTGTTTGGAACAAACTAGCATTATTTTTATTTCTAAACCTTCAAAAGAGTATCCACTGATATTAGGAACTAAATGTTACTAATTTAAAGTGATTAAAATTATTGTTCATCTTGCATCAATTTTTTTTTAACCAAATGGAAAGGATTATTTTTATCAGTGTGTAGTCATATAGTTTGCTTTCAAAATGCAAATGCTAATTAGTGTTTTTTCTTCTGACCTTGCTCTTATTGAAATTGAGTCTTAGTGTGCAGAGACTCAATTACATTCTCTGTTGTAATTTCCACATTATAAAAACTTTGGCAGAGGGGAAAATTGCTCATCATCTCACTAGCTACAGAAGCATTTTGGTAAGGCAAAAAAATTTCATAGATTGTTCTTGGATGATATTGAAACTTGATTCTCTTCTCTGTCACAATCTCAGCTAAGGAAAGAGAGAGAATGGTGGAGGAAGTTGGTCCATCCTAGCCATCTCCTTGCATCATAGCCCAAGTCATTGAAGAGGCTTTTGGTTCTATAGCTTTTTCATCAGAGAAAACAAGCATATAAAATGGTTGATGTTCTTTATAGTCTGATTTTTTTAGAAAATGACTTTTCATAAATTACTGTAGTTAAACAGTAATTTCTGATTTTTGATGGCAGTTATTAATTGGCTTGGAAGTGGAGGCCTGGGAGGATTTAGATGGGGAATCAGAGGTGTCCTTGGGAAAGGATATGATTTTTTCTGTATATCTCCAAAGTAGGATAGCTATGTACCCCACCCCAGTATTATTTAGCGGGCCCCCTTCCATCCACCTAAGCAAACACATCCCATAATGTCGCCTCTCATCTTGAACGTATCTTCCCCTTCCACAGCTGTTTGCTTTGGGTTCACAGCCAATTCCTTGCTAAAACCATCTATTGTCTTCCTGCCAAAACCAAGTTGAAAAAGCTTAACTTGCATGTCCCCTCCCTAAACAAACAATATACCCAATAAACCTCTGATCAGAAGCAAAAGAAGCAAACTTTTATTCATAAAGGTAAAGCAACTACAGATATTATTAGTCTTTCCTACTTCTTAGTGTTTCACCACTTTTTAAAACCATTTTTCCATATTGAATACTTTTGTTTATTTTTTTTGTTTATTGGATGTTAATACCAATATTATCCATTGAATATTGGTTAAACCTTCTTAGTGATTTTCAGACTTTTTAAGGTATGGACACTTTTGTTCAAACAAAATCTTTTTCAGAAGCTCAGTCCATAAACAGACCAAAAACGGAGCTTCTCTGATTAATCTGGGGATCGAGAGCCCAGAGCCACCAAGGCACCTATGTGGTTCTCCAGAGCAGGATTTGAAAATTACTAACCCGTCTTTTTTGCCAAAACCAATAATCACACAGTTCTCCCTTCTTGTGTCTGTTGCCCCCCAAGTCCTCTAAATCCTCAAACAAATTTTTTAAATGAAGAAAAAACAGCTTTCTTAGGGGCTAGTCATACTGACCTTTACAAGGTGTTCTCTGTGTGTTCATATTTCCATTTCTTTTATGAAAAGGGTGGGTGGCAGGAATGTTTTCCTTTATTTTGTTTTTAGCTTGGTGTGCAATTATCTAATATACTGGAAAGTACAGGAGGTGCTAAATACAGTGGGTTATATTTGGAATTTAAAAAGCACAAGTCACATGTTCTAACATTTTAGAAAAAGAGTTGAATTAGTGCTCCTCCTTTTATACCAAATGCTACAGTTTGTCTATTTCCTCTGTCAAATGGAGATGGACTCAGTTTTAAACAAGTACCTTCAAAGTGCATTATCCAGACTGATGTTTTTAATTTCTGTATTATTTATCCAGTATATTTATAGCAGTTCTGCAGATAATGGTTATAAATTATATAAAATATAAAGTCAGTGCTTATGATGATTGATAGAGGTAAATTTGCCCAATCTGTTTCCTTTTGAAAAAAATTTGTCATTTGAAAATAGAAGATAACTTTTTAAATCTGTTTTTTTTAAAAGGAAAACCATATGCCTAGCCAGTAAGATTTTGTTCTACTCAATCAAGATTAAAATATTTTGCCATTAACTAAGACTGTTTTTGCTAGATTTTATCTCTATTAAAAATAAGAACATAGTCAAGGAGTCCTCATGTTTGAAATCTTCTTTAGATTTTATAAATAAATATTTATAAATATTTAGATCCCATTCATTTTTTCTTACTGATAATTTGGCCTGATATACCTTCCAACATGAGCATTTGTATGAATTTTATCTCAGCATTTTTTAAATCTTTTTGAGATATGTTTTAGAATTAATTGGATTTTTAAAAATCTCAACAAGTTTCTAGAACTATTTTATGTTTACAGTGACATTTTTATTTTTCAGTCTTCCAGACTGCCAATATTAATATTCATGGGAGCAGTGTTAAGGTTATATCACAAAAACTATCAAATGTGTTATGAGCACAGGTAATATGCTAGGCACTGGGAATAATACAAACATAAGGCCCATCCCTTGCCTTCCAGGATTTCACGGTTGGGCTGGAGCTACTAGAAACAAGGTTAGCAAAATTAGAATGGTTTGTGAATGAAATGTGACTTAAGTATTCAGAAAGGCCTTTGGAATACCAAAGAAAATTCTAGGGTCAAGGAAAGCTTTGAAGAGAAGATGGTGTTTCAGCTATGTATGTTCTGAAGAATGAGTATGCCTCATTGTGATAGAGAATTCTAAGAGAGGCTTGGAGGCATGAGAGCATGGAGCAGTTGGGAAACAACAGATAGGCAATGCTGTGGCTTGGGCATGAGAATTTACGTGGGGAGAGGGAAGTCACAAGAGCTAAGACTGGAAAGGTTGGGAAGGGCCTTGTGTTCTTGCTGAGGAGTGTGCATATTGTGATGTGGGTCGGCGGTACAGTCATTGAGGGTACTGATAAATGTTTGATGTCATCAGGTTTGTGCTTTAGGACATGTGATGGATTGGTGAGCATGTGGTGACAAGAATGGAGATCAGTTTAGGACGGTGTTATGATGAGATTGGTGAGAAAGATGAGGCCTAAAGTGACATAGTAGAAAGAGGAAAGGAGCAGTGTGAAGAGGAGGTGACAGACTTTTATTTGGTGCCTGCTGTACCTGTCAAGGCATTGTTCTCGCCTTCTCCTCATGTCTTCATGTGGTCTGTAAAGCACTTCTGAGGCAGGAATAATGATCTGTTTATTGGGTACCTGCTGTGTGCCAGATCCTGATTGGGCACTTGTATTACTGATAACCTTTATAACAACCCTGCAGAGTTGGTGGTATTATCCTTGTTTTAAAGAGGAGATTGGGGTTTACAGAAGGTCACTCGACTGGCCCAAGGGCCCACACCTAGACAGAGGCATAAGTGGAGTTTGTACCCAGATGTACTTTTAGAATTCATCCTCTTTCCACTACGTCAGTGAGATGTAATGGACGGGCCAGAAAGAATGGTGTTATGACGTGATTACCGGATGTGTCAGTTTGGACCGCTGGTGAAGGTGGTACTGTTAACCGGAGATGGAGAGGAAGAGGATGGTAATATTGGGCGGTGGATAACACATTTGGTTCTAGCCGTAAGGCATTTGGGGCAGTTTATTAATGCCTTCTTAGAATCAGATCAAATT